TCTTGCCGCCCGGCCCCTCCTTCGAGGCCGGGTGCGCGGGTCCCCTTCTGCCCCGGGCTCATCTCCACCTTGGGGCTGGCAAACCTGCGCCTCGGCGTCCTGGCGCGGGTCCGAAACGGTGGCCGCGGGAGGAGGAGGTGACCGTCCCCCTGCACGCCGCCCTGGGGAGGCCGCCGCTGGAGTACTGGGCTCCGTGTGGGGCCTCTCACTACACGAAGGACGTTGAGGTGCTGGAGCGGGTTCAGAGAAGCGTCTAGAAAAATAAGTCTTGTGAGGAGCGGCTGAGGGATCTGGGGCTACTTAGTCTGAAGAAAAGGCGGCTGAGGAGAGATCTCGCTCTCTATAACTACCTGAAAGGATGTTATAGCGAGGTGGATGCCAGTCTCTTCTGCCACATAACAAGCGATAGGGCAAGACACAACGGCCTCAAGCTGTCCCATAGGAGGTTTAGGTTGGATGTTAGAAAAAACTTCTTCAATTAAAGGGTTGTCAAGCCCTGGAACAGGCTGCTCAGAAAAGGGGTTGAATCACTATCCCTGGACATGTTTAAAAGTCATGTAGACACGGTGCTTAGAGACATGGTTTAGCCCAGGACTTGGTAGAGTTAGGTCTCCATGATCTTAGAGGTCTTTTTCCAGTTGAAACAATTCTATGACTCGAGGCCTTACCCATGACTATATTGGTGAAAAAAGATTGCAAGTGCTAAACCATGTCACTGTTGGTATCAGTGCCTGCTAATCTGAAAAGCAGAGTATTTTTTTTTCCTTTTATTGTGAGATCTCTTGTGTTTTGGGCTGACGGCAGCTTTCTGCACTGGGAATAACGCTGCCTTCTGCTGGGTATATTTCTGGAGTGTAGACATGAGGATTTGTTTTTTTAATACCCCCTAGTACATTCTAGTGGCATGTAAGCCAGTATCATTAGAAGTGCTCTCATACTGCCTTTTGTGAAAATTTGTTTTCACTTGCATTCATTTTTCCCCAAATAATCCATGTTTTTAATGAGTTTTCAGGTACAATTTACTGTTTTGCATAGTGCAAGACATTAACGGTGACTTTAGGCTATTCAAAGCCAGTCTTGAGAACTTGCCTGATATGTTCTTGCTGCTGACTGCATTTTTTCCTGTTTTCCTTTCACAGGAGACATTGGATTCAACCTGTAGGAAAAACCCATGCTTTGTGAAATTCAGAGAGATGGAAGAAACAGCAAACATTCAAGCTGAAATCAATGAGGTACAGCTTGTACTGTTGTCAGTGTGCACTCAACACGTCAATATTTAGAAGTAACACATGGCACCTGCTCAGGTACTGGACTGCCATGTGCTGTTGTTTCATGATTTGGGTGGCTTTTTAGCAGTGTAGTTGTTTTAACAGTTGGCACTTTTCCCCACTGGACTGAACTGTCATAAAAAGAAACAAAATTATGAAACAAAACTTTTTGGAATAACTGGAAAGACACAGCAGCTTGCATCATTGACTCAAGTGTTACTTGAAGTTTTCTGAAGAAACTGAATAACAAATAAGAACTTGTAGTTGGCTTCAGTTCACCAAAATGTGGTTCTTTATAGGGCAGTTAGACTGTTTTGTTGGTTAGCAAGAGGTAACCTCAGTCTTTTCCTGCTGCCTGAATTGGCTGTTGGCCCGTGTTTTATGGTAGTGTTTTCTGAGCATTTGCCCACTGGTACAAAAACTGTGCTTATGAAGTTGCACACTGTGGGCTCCAGCAGCTTCAAAGCCTTAGTGCAGTGGGACAAATGCACCATTTACTACTTCTTTGGAGAATGAGTTAAACAGATGGTATCATCCTGTATTGAAGGGCAGAAGGAACAAACAGTTTCTATCTCTCTGTAAAGTGCTGGAAGGTTTCACATGCAAAGTACTCACTGGGACAGATGTTCAGTATGCTCTGAGTGAAGAATGTTTGGTTTTGTCCTCTCCTCAGTGATCAAGTAAAGCAAAGCAACAGTTCTGTGTCCTGAGAGACTGGTGTGTCTTCTATACTTTCCTCAGTCTTCTCTTGTCTGGTCAAAACAACCACAACTCTTCCAGCCACAGGAAGGTGTCTGCTGTTCTTGTGCTAGTTTATCAATGAGAAGAATTAAAGCTAGGAGTTTGACCTGAGAGAGCTTCTCCCACAGCTAAAACTAAAAAACCAACCCAACAGAAACCGGCCTTTGCCAGAAGGAGGGAACCTGGGGATGTGGGACATTCTTTGGTAGGATATAGACTATGAAACTGCTTTGTAGGAGATGTAAGTTTCTGTGGTTCAGGCATGATTTGCAGAATCTGTCTTTTCCAACACAAATTCTCAATAAATGATCAAATTGTTTTGTTTTGTTTTTTTTTTTTTTAAAACAGTCTTCTCCTACTGACCAAAAAAGCCTCACCCAGGAGCAGAAGCTCTCCAGAGAGCATGTTAATGTGCTGTCTTGCAAACACTCCTTTTCTGTCACACACACGCTCTCCCCCATGCTTCTGCTTTCTCCCTTTCTACTTCCCACCCCAAGAGAGTCAACAACATCTGGATGAGTATGTTAAAAATGAGTTTTCATTTGATGTTGTTATTGCAGACAAAACTGAAAACTGAAATCCTGCAGCTGGAGGAGGAGACAGCAGACATTACTCACCCTTTTCACTTGGGTAAGTGCTGTTGTACCTTAGAACAACCAAGAGTGTCAGATGACTTCATCAGCAGTTTAATGTTTTATCTGAGTATGTGACACATCTAGAAGTTACTGCAGCTGTCTTCACTGGATACCTTTTCACTTGGGTAAGTGCTGTTGTACCTTAGAACAACCAAGAGTGTCAGATGACTTCATCAGCAGTTTAATGTTTTATCCGAGTATGTGACACATCTAGAAGTTAAGTTACTGCAGCTGTCTCCACTGGATAGCTTGTTAGAGGTGACAGGGGATGTATTACCCCCTAAAGAATGTCTCCATACTATTTGAGCTTGTACCATCTGCTAGCTTATTAGCAGCTCTGTAATTAATTTAAAAAAAAATTGGGGGGATGGGCATGGTCAGCTCCCCAGGGTTAGTGGAGCATCAGGAGTTCTGAGATCATCAGTAACCTGGCAGGCTTCCCTTAGCTTGTGTGCTACTCTGCTGCTTTTCCAGTAGCTCAGTCTATTTCTGCTGCATCTGTGTGCCCCTGAAATTACTTGGAATTTTATTTTAGTATTTTGATAGCATGTGTCTTAATTTCTTGATTATTTTGCACTTTCTACTATGATTTGAAGGGTATATAAAAATATTCCAGCTTGTTACTACTGTGCTAGGCTAGTAAAGTGTATTGTAATACTTCAGTGCTATGGTACAGTTTAGGAAGTTGATTTCATCTCAAAGGCAGTTTAAAACTGCAGATAATGTGAAACAGTTAACAAAGCTGTATCTCTAAGATGTAGGTATTATAACTTGGAGGGGCATGCTGATATAAAGTTCTGGAGACTCCAACAAATGTAGTTCTGGTTAGTAGTCCTGTTCTTGGGTGTCTGTTGTCCAGTGCCATAGATCAGACCTTTTCTTTATTTCTCCAGAAGAAATCTTTCTCTTGCTTTAGCAGGTTCAACTTTGCAATTTTATTTTATAGGCAAAAAATGCGAGATTTTGGAAGATATGAACAGACACTTGGAAGCTGTACTGGAAAAGAAGAGGGCTCTTAGAAGGAGGTTGATAAATCCCAGGTGTCAAGAGAGCCTGCCTATTGAGGCTACTTTCCACAGGTAGGCATATAGAAAATAATTGTTCTTTCTTTGCATTTGTCCCAATTAATTCAAACTAATAGGCTGTAAAAAATGCATGTTTTTGTTCACTTTTCCACTGAATAGAAAATAAAAAGAATAGAAATAAAAAATGGTAGCAGAACCATTAAAAAAAATAGTAGCAGAACTAAAAGCTAGTGGTTTGCTCATTTTTAAGATCATAAAAAAGTAGTGATACATATTTTTATGAATATTTGCTTAGGTTATTGGTCTTGTCTCCTGAAGATGACAGAACAAGTTGTGATGTTTTCTTTTAATGGGGTGTGTTAAATGCTTTTGAGCTAAGAATCCTTACTTTAGCATTTGGGGTTGTCCATCCACTGCACCTGGCTCAGAGTAGGTGTGTGGATGATTCCCAGACATGCATAGTACACATTCTAAAAATATAGGCCTTCTCCTTATGGTCTAAAAATCTACACCAGTTACCAAAGAAGTGCATATTCACTTCTGTAAATCCTGCCCTACTTGTTGCTGAGAGTCATAAAAGAAGTGTAATTGCAGAGAGATTAGTTAGATGGTCAGGAACTTGCATAGAACTGGAGGACTAAGACGACCCACCGGGGAAAGAAGTAGAAGCTTGAAAATATCAAATCCTCACTGTTTTGAACAACTTCTGAGTAGGGGACACATTTTTGGTTACAGGGATGTGGTAGAGTTGTTGGCTGAGGCTGTGACTTTCATTGAGAAGCTTGAAAGCCATTTGCAGACTGTCCGAAGCATCCCCGAGATACCCAACACTGTGAGGGATATGGTGAGTAGCAAAAGAACTGAGCCTCTGCTCTCCTCCAGCATTAAGAATTCAATGCTCTTTGGTTCTCTGGGTTATTTATATGACCTGATTGACAGGATGTATAGAGCTGAAATCCAGTTATTTTCTGCTTCAGAACACTGCTTTGGCAAAAACAGAGGTGCTCGTGATAGAGTTGGAGGAGCTGGCAGACCGAATAGTGAAGTGGAGAGAAGTGCAAAAAGAGGTGTATTCCCACAGCGTCTGCCACACCACGGACTGGGACTTCGGCTTCTCTTTCACCTAGCAAATCATTTTCCCCACATAGGATGGCTCTTTGATGGCTCTTTTTACAGTCCTCTGTGGAAACTACAACATGGTTGTGCTTTAACCCAGCAGGGACTTTCTTGGTAGTTATATACCTGTTCTTAAGTGACAGTTCTCCAACTATTTAAAACCACAACCAACAAGCACAAAGGACAATGAGCAGGACCTCATAGGAAGACGGTCTTCTGAGAACACTGTTAAGAAGAGTTCCTTTCTGAAGTAGCTGGACAGGATTCCCTTGGAGCCTGTGTTGTCAATATAAATTTGTTTTGATATTTCTATGCACTTGCTATATAGTCCATTCATTTTTATAAGCATCTTGATAATATACTGTATTTTCTATGTCACTATAAAACTTAAATAAATGCACTAGATTTCAAGAGCTTATTTTCTTGCTTTTTATTTTACTATAAAATCCTTTACTTCAAAGAACACTGCAAAGTCTTAGGTCTCTGCTTATGCTTCCATAGGATTTCCATCCAAGAAATCAAACTGGGTTTAGCTTATGGTTTATTGTGGTTTTGTGGGAAAGCAGAGAATGGACTTGGTGCTTTTGGGGTTGCTCAGCTTGGAGAAGAGAAGACTCCAGGGAGACCTTATTGTGGCCTTTCAGTACTTAAAGGGAGCTGTACAAAAGATGGGGACAGTCTTTTTAGCAGGGTGTGGTGCTACAGGACAAGGGTTCATGGTTTTAAACTAAAAGAGAGGAGATGTAGACTGGATGGAAGGAAGAAATTTTTCACAATGAGGGTGGTGAAACACTGGCACAAGTTGCCCAGAATGGTGGTCAATATCCCATCCCTGGAAATGTTGCAGGTCAGGTTGGATGGGGCTCTGAGCAACCTAATCTAGTTGCAGATGTCCCTGCTCCCTGCAGGTGAGTTGGACTGGATGACATTTAAAAGTCCCTTCCAACCCAAACCATTGTATGATTCTATATGTGGCAGGTCAGCTGATTTGCAAACCACACTTCTATGACTGATAAATACATTCTACATCTTCTGAAGTTCTGAAGAAAAGACTTGTTGGTAAAATGTCACTGGCAGAACATCTATAAACCAGGATAGCTGTTTGCCTTTGGAGGATGTCCAGTTTTGTATTCAGGACAGAGAGCAAACCAGAAGTGGTGCAGATGTAGGTGCTCCATCACTGAATGTGTTGAAGACTGGGTTGGATGTTGGATGGGACTTGAGCAACCTGATCTAGTGGGAGGTATCCCTGTCCGTGGCAGGGGGGTTGGACCTAGATGATCTTTAAGGTCCCTTCCAGGCCAAACTTTTCTATGACTCAGTGTATTCCTTTCTACCATTGTATGGTTTATGTTCCCTGAATTCATACATGCAACCTGCTCATTTCTTTTTCTGAAAATGAGCCCTTTATTTTTTGAAAGTAACCACTAGGTGGCTCAGTACTAACACAAATTTTGCTGCAGTTTACCTGATTACTGCATAAAAACTTAAAAGTACAAATAAGGGAGAATTCTTTGCGTTGAGCATGGTCTGATCTGACTGACTTGTAACTGGTCTACTCTATATTTTAAGCTTTCTGAGAATATCACTAATTTTCACAGACCATCATTCTGCTGGGTGTTGTGACAAGGCGTATAGCTGAACCATTCTTGGCATATGCTGTGTAAGAGGAGATGATGTGCCTCTGTTAAGAAAAGTTAAGAGGATAGAAACAATTTGGATCAAGTCAAGCAGAAAGCCCATAGATAGGAATGAGAATGTAAACTGGTGTCTGGGTCCCATAAACTTCAATGGGATCTTTGTGTGAACACTGACTTGTGTCGTTGTAGGATTTGAGTCCAAAGTCCCAGGTCACTGTCACTTCAGATGGGGAAATGAAGGTCTTCCACACAATTGCAGAGGAGCTGGCGTTTTTTGCTGAAAATGCTCTGCACAGTCTCTGAAATGGGAAGAAACAGAATCCAGACTTCTGGAATCACCATCCTGGGCATCTACCACAGGGTTAACCTCTCACTCATTGTCACACAGTGATGATTTAGGTCAGGCAAACCAAAGCTGTTGTAATTTAATGCTTCCAGAAGTAGGACAAAAATATTTCTAGCTTGTTCTAGTGAACAAGTTGAAGTGAAGACAATGTATGGGTTTTGCCATATCCCAAAGAGTTGAGCATATTTTCTTCTTTTACTGTAAGCAGTAGTGGTGAGTTTACTGTGGAGGTGACAGAGTTTACAGAGCTGACGATGTGTGAGTGCAGCCCAGAAAGCCAACTGTACCCTGGGGCTGCATCAAGAGAAGCGTGGCCAGCAGGTCACAGGAGGGATTCTCCCTCCTACTCTACTTTGCTTTTGTGAGACCCCCACCTGGAGTACTGCATCCAGCTCTGGACCCCCCAGAACAAGAAGGACATGGACCTGTTGGAGCAGGTCCAGAGGAGAGCCATAGAGATGATCCAAGGGCTAGAACACCTCTCCTACGAGGATAGGCTGAGAGAGTTGAGGTTGTTCAGCTTGGAGAAGAGAAGGCTCCAGGGAGACTTTATTGCAGCCTTCCAACTTCTGAAGAGGGCCTACAAGAAAATTGGGGAGGGACTTTTTACAAGGGCTTGTAGTGATAGGATGAGGGGTAACAGTTTCAAACTGGAAGAGAGTAGATTTAAATTAGGTATAAAGAAGTTTCTTCACCGTGATGGTGGTGAGATACTGGAAAAGGCTGTGCTGGGAAGTTGTGGATGCTCCATCACTGGATGTGTTCAAGGCCAGGTTGGTTGGGGCTTTGAGCAGCCTGGTCTAGTGGGAGGTGCCCCTGCCCATGGTAGGGTGGTTGGAACTAGATGGTCTTTAAGTTCCCTTCCAGCCCAAACCATCTGCCATTTACACACCCATTTTTTCTCTAGTGTGATTAAAGTGATAAATCTACTGAGGTAAACAGTGATTTTCAACTTGTGGACGTTCATTTTAGCAGCTCTGTTGTGAGTCATGAATTGGGAAAAGTGTTGGGCCCAAAGGATCCATCCCATAGCTCACTCTGTATTATAGTATGTTTTGTTTGGATTTGATGTTTCTGGAGCTTAAGGCAAATTGGCTGGTGAGGAAAACTATACTTAAAGGACAAGTGAACAGTACAGTTAAAAGGCAATTTAAACAGCAGTTGTTTAAATGGACTGGAAAACATTCCTATATGATATTCAGATTTGGTTTCTCATATCTTGAAATGCAAACCCAGAAAAAGTTTGGTTAAAAATGAGTAACAACATTGGGGAAAAAACAAAACAAAACAGGAATTGTCTATTGAGCCTGGAACTTTCTTTATGCCAATGCTACTTCCTCTCACATCTTCACAGTAACATCAGTCGCTGACAGGGACAATATTCTAAAAGCAGTTTCATTTTTTTAACTTTTGGTGGTTTTTATTTTACTTTAGGTGCAACACCTTTATCAATGCAAGTTGGACATTGACTTAAATTATAGTTCTTTGGCAGTTTCAAAATTATATTATACACTTTAAATCTAACCCACTTGAAGACTGGAGGTTTTCGAAGGACTTTAAAACACTTGAGAGCTTTCCTTTAGCGCTGGTAAGGAAGGGATAGTTGTCTTCCTCCAATTACTGTCAAATTAAATAAATGTGGAGTGCTTTGCACTTTAAACAGTGCTGGTTTTCTGATTGCCTGCACGTTACTTAGGAGAAGAAATTTGATCAAATGTACGTAGGATTAAACTGGAAGTTCTTCTGAAGCAAATTTTTTTCTCTTGGGTGGTCCTTAGTGAGTATCTTCCTGGCACCACCCAGGATCTAACCCATCTATAGCCCATCTAACCGGGCTGCGGGCATTGAACTGTTCCGGTAACAGGCGGGATGTGCGGCGCTGGGAGCACCCCGCGGTGCTGCCGAGGGCCGGGCTGTCTGCCCC